AAAAATGAACCATTTGCATTTCCGTGTGATTTAGATCAGTATAATATACCAGGCGTCAGTGGGAGAGTATTTTACATACAACATTTGCTACTGATTAAAAGATCATCCTTCTTCTATTTTTAAACTGTTTTTATTACATTTTATGTGTTTATAAAAGAGAGTATTTAGCATACCTCTATTGATATTACAAAAAAAAAAAAATATTCAAGGATTTTGACTCAGTATGACTTTTGATGCAGTATATAAAAATTTGTGACTTTAAAATACACATGATAATGGGCAATGGTGGGCTAAAGGTTAGGGAATAGAGCTTGGAATCCTGAGGTTCTGAGTTTGAACCCCATTCCCACACTGTGGCTCTCTGAGCAAGACCCTTAACCTCACACTGCTCCCTGGGTGCCATGCAATGGCAGCCCACTGCTCCCCAAGAGGATAGGTAAAATGCAGAGGTAAATTATTAGTTATTATTAATAGGTAATACTTCATTTGGATTTTTGTGTTCTATGTCATATTCTGTTAGGGTTGTGACAACTATCTGCTATGATCAGAAAAGAAATCACTAAACATCATGAAGCACTCACAATGTTAATGATCTTACATTAGACATACTTGGCTTTTATTAAGGATTTATTTTTTTGCTTCTAAATGTTCGCTTAACCTTTTAGAACAAATTATAATGGTTTCCGCACAGAATAAAAAGTCTAAGCATTCTTCTTTATACGTTCAGTAGGTATACGCCAAAAATATATATTTACTTGTTAAACACCATGCTAATTCTAATAAGGAATATCCCTCTCTGATCCTCTTTTAAGACTTGGAAAACAGAATAGTGTCAATAAATAAAATGACAAAAATTAACAACTGAGGGGGAAAAAATACAGATATTATTAATACATAATACAAAAATGCAAAATTTGACATTTGAAAAAAATAACACATAATGATAACTAAGACTTAAAAATGAAAACAGTTGGACAGATTGCCTTTTTTTTGCATTTATTGGTACTTAAAAATTTTTATTTTTTTGTCTATTTTAATTTCTAATGTTGGCAGTTCAGGTCCTCCATAATCCTTAAAGATATTCAATTAGTGATAGTTGTTTTTATATATATATTTTTTTTTTTTAGCCTGAATGTGATGCAGTCTGCTATACCTTCAATTCAATAAAATCCTGATAAAACAGGTACAAATATCCCATTCATATGCTTTTTGTACCACAAACCTTCCCAGACACTATTGGAACTATGCTGCTACTAGCTAAAGGGAGAATGCATAAAGAACATTTGTGAAATGCTTTCTATTATTATGTTTGATATTTTAAATTTAGGAATGCTGGATTCCAACACCAAAGGACAGAGATGCACGAATGTCATTTACACCTTAAAAGTAAAGTAACTATTTAGGAAATAGTTGTTAATTACTACAACAAAGGAGGATATCTTAAGAGCACATCTAGTTTATGCAACCAAGAAATGTATCAACTATTGGAAACCTGTCATCACATTTTTCAGTAAAGGCAGCTTTTGACTATAACACCATAAGAGATGTGTCATCTAAGGAGCAAACCTCAAAGTCTATATAGAATGTGTCTGAAGTGTGGAGCCCTGGCAGAGCTTTGTCTCCACCTGCTGGCCGTTTTCTACTATCAGAGTTTACCTCGATCTGCTCTTCTAAAAACTTAATTTCAGATTCTATAAACTGTTATTATGTAAAATTAAGCTTATTTTCTGGCAGGTACTAATTAAAGTAACCTTTTTAGAAGTGCATGTTTTTGTTGTCCGTCCGTCCATCCATCCATCCATCCTTGCATCCACTTCTGCTTATCTGGGGCTGGGTCGCAGAGGCAGCAGTCTAAGCAGAGATGCCCAGACTTCCAGCTGCTCTGGGGGGACCCTGAGGCAACACCAGGCCAGCTCAGAGACATAGTCCCTCCAGCATGTCCTTGTGGAAGGCCCAGGACACAAAGGTTAATGGGATATGCCTGGAACACCTTCCGAGGGAGGCAACCAGGAGGCATCCGAAACAGATGCCCAGCCACTTCAGCTGGCTCCTTTCCATGTGGAGGAGCAATGACTCTCCTCTGAGTTTCTGTCGGATAACTGAGCTCCTCACAAGATCTCGAAGGGTGCGCCCAGCCACCCTGCAAAGGAAAATCATTTCGGCCACTTGTAATCATTATCTTGTCCTTTCACTCATTATTGTTAGGATAATTATCATTGAAGATGTGTGAGTTTATTACACCTTGGTATTGACTGCCTGTTGTGTGTCACAACTGAGGTTTTAATCTAAACAGGAAAGTTCCTCTGTTTGGATATACAGTTGTAATCTTAATTTTGTACGTGGCAAAGGATTGAGAGCGGTGTCCTTCAGCTAAGAACAAAGTGTCATATTTTGATAAGGCTGGAGCCATGGAGGTCTAATCATTTGCTAACGTGTATGATGTAAAATAAGATAATGTCGCAGACTCTGGCAACCCAGTCCTCAATAAACTCCAAATGGTCTACAGAAGCCACCTTTTTAGTAAACACTGTTGTATTATTGGATCTAAGTTTAAACAAGTTTAAACACCCTTAGAGGGTCAATATTGAACGTTAGTGATCAAACAGCATCACTTAAACCAAGAAACACAGCAGACAGGTAAGGAGACCATTATGATTTTTAAAGCAGGTTAAGGTTATGAGTTAATATCCCAGCCTAGGAAGATCTATGAGTGCTACCTAAACCATAGTCTGAAAACTGAGAGTATAGAAAAAGTCACTGTTAGCAAGGAAGGCATCAATCATAGCATTACCCAAGAGTCCAAAGGTATCTCTTGGGTTCAGAGCCATATGGTCAGAAATATTACGGGGAAAAGGGGGAAAAAGAATGCAGAGTTCTAACGGACAGAGGGAAAACACATACATGGAGAAAGGCGTTCTAGCCAGATGAGATCAAATTGAAACTAAATAAACTGACTTGTAGTATAAATAAAAAACTATCTGATTCTGATTCAAACTCAGTTCAAAACAGAGCACTCACCAGAGATTAAACCTTAATATAACAGCCTGATCCTGAACATGAAGAAGATGAAGGAGATCATCTTCGACTTCAGGAAGAACCATCCTAACTAGGGTTGCACCGATGCCACCTTTTAACCCAGATACCGATACCTGCCTGTGCAGTATTGTCCGATACTGATTCCATACTGGTAACATCTGTTTTAATTTGACGTGTGCGTTTATATATGAAGAACTGCATACTACTTGGATGTAAAATAATTGCCATCATGGCTTTGTCAAGCTGCTGCCTACCTTTGTGAAGCAGGAAAAAGACTAATACAAAGTGAATCCAGTAGAAGATTTTATTGCCTACATGGAATGGGTGACAATAGTTGAATAAAGTTTTGGCTCTCAAAATGATATCGGTGCCCTATTTGTTGGTACTCACCCATACTAATACCAACCTTTTAGTGCTGGATCAGGCCCTGCCTGATGCTGGTATCAGTGACACAAGTCCTAACCACGCTCCACTGCTAAATCAACAGCACCAAAGTGCATGTACTTCTGCTGAGGATGAGGAGAGCCCACCTGCCCCCACCCATCCTCACCACCTTCTACAGAAGCACCAAAGATAGCGTTCTGACCAGCTGTCTCACTGTGTGGTAAGGAGGCTTCAGCGCCTCAGGCTGAAAGAAGATGAGAAGAGTCTTGAGAACAGCAGAGGATCAGCGGGGCTACATTAAAGACATTTCACCCCAGCGCTGCGTGTCCCGAGCCCTTAACATTATCAGTGACCCCTCACCCCCCCTACCATGGACTGTTCTCCCTGCTGCCCTCTGGGAAGAGGCTTCACAGCATTCAATACAGGTCCAGCCGCAACAGCTTCTTTCCCACCGCCGTCAGACTGCTGAAAAAAATCTCAAAATCATGTCACAGACTATGCATCAGACTGATAACACCAAAAACACTGCATGATTACTGTCTGAAAGCTCCACCAAACAAAATTTTGTTTTGTAAACTCTTTATACAAAAGGACAATACAAATTTGTCTAAGTCTTAATCCCACTGATAATCTTTTACACATCCCCAGTAAGTTTTTGGGAGCACTGAGATGCTCCCATCATGGCTGTAGTGTTTATGTAGAATCTGTAGGCAACATCATGAAACATTAGAGCTACTCAATTTACTTAAACAATATTTTAATGTTAATCATCGGTCCATATAGGTTAAGAGTGTTAACATGATTATGAGAAACAGCCTCCAACAATGTTACAGATGAAGTACAGTCAGAGGGACACGGTCTTAAATATCCATAGAAAGACAACACAGTCAAAATAGATTTACTTCATCGAACCATATTTTTTTTTTTATCTCCTTCATTTTTTGTTGTTCACAATAGTTACAAGACTTTTACCAGTACTGTATTTACATAGTGCAAAAGAAAAAAAAGAAAACCCTCACACATTACCTTTCGATTAACAAACACTTTGATGGAAGTCACACACACACTCATTCAGCGTACCTTTAATTAAACAAGAAATACTTTCATTAATTCAAAGTGTGAAATGCACAGATATCCCTCAGAATATGGCCTTAACACACTGCATTTACATCTGCAAAAGTCTTTACTAAATTGGATTCGAACTGTTCACGTGTCTATAGTATTAAATGGCTTTAAAAACAGAATGATTGTTTTTTGTTTTAAATACAACTCTAAATCTTTTTTCTTTCCTCTCCATTTAAACTTGTATTTACAGAAACATGTCCAAGAGTTTGTGTTAGACTGGTAACCTCCTCACTGGCGGTCATTGTTGGGCGTTATAAAAAACAAAACAAAAACAACACCCTGCTAATCCAATATTGAAGAGCCCGTTTCAGGTCTTAGCAACTTAAAGGTGTATTTAGAGAATTATTAAACCTCAGGGTTGCCGGTAAGCATTAGCCTGTTCCTCTGAACCAAAGATCTTTTAAATATATAGAAGGTAAAGTTTATATTTACCCTAAAAACATGTAAAATGAATCCTGAAATCTCAGTGTGTATATGATAGAAGAGATGTGTTGAAAAAGAAAACAAATAAGGAACACTTTTTTGTTTTTCTTTATGGAAATCAAAGAGTTTACATTTCCAATCGATTGGAAAACCTCTAATACTTTCAACGAAAGGCAAGATCAATAAGACAAACCATTAAATGCTTTAGAGAACCAGAAACACAGGGTTATATTCACAAATTTTCCTTAGCTTCTTAGAAGTAAAGTTATTTAAATCATCTAGACACAGGATGAGACACTGGTTGTTCAGACATTAAAACACTGCGGAGACCGATGGGTGGGAGCTGTTTTGGTTCAAACATGGAACCCCTGACACTTTAAAGCAAATGACAAAACTCAATAATTAATTAATAAATGCATGATCTCCCTCCCTCGTTAAACAAAAATAAATGAACAAACAAAAAAGGTATGTATATGTATATACATAGTTTAAGATAAAACCAATAAACAGCTACGTAAATCTAAAGCATGAGTCTGTAAAGCACACACACAAACACACGGATGAATACAAAGAGCTGTAAACCTGTAGAGCTCTGGATGAAAATATATTCCCAAACTCAGCATCACTTTCATCACTTACTCCCAGAAAATGTCTCTAAAAAGAGTTCAGCTTCAGAGGTGGAGAAAAAAAAAAAAAAAAAAATCAAGTTACCCCTCTGGATTCAAGTGTTGCAGGTTCTGGGCTGAAGTGAGAGCATCCTTGTTGTAGTGTTAGGAGTCGTTTGGTCTGTAAGCTGGTCAGATCTTTTTTTTCCCCCCAAGTGTGTGTGAATGTTGGTCAATTGGTTGATTCCTGAGATAATGCCTGGTGTCAGGGGTCAGACACAAAGGATAGAGAGGGATGTAGAGGGGTGAGTGAGAGCCACAAAGGACAGAAATATTCAGTGCATGTAGAGAGAAAACCAGCGGAGAAGCTTCAGACTGTGGCTTTCTTAGCTTCCGCCTTTTCTTTGTCCTCCACATTTGGCTCTGTGAGGTCTGTTGAGTCCAGATCGTCTTCATCCCCACTCGGCCCCTTGTCTTCTTCTTCATCCTCCTCCTCCTCCTCTTCCTCTGTACTCTCTTGGCTTTTTCCCAGGTGCAGGTTTTCAAGGGTTTTCGACACCCAAGAATCAATGCGACTGCTCAGAGTGGGCACTTCTACAGAAATAGGTTCAGGAGTGTAGTCTTCCTCCTCCTCATCCTCCTCCTCCGCCTCCTCCAACATCCCAGGGACCAGGGTGGAAGTGGTGGACGTGATAGAGGAGGTCAACGGCCCCCTGCAGCTTCCATCCAACGAGCCCGTCTCTGTGCTTTGAGAAGCAAGCTCGAGTCGGTCGTCAGCCCGGACCTCCTCTCTGTCCGTGGTACCCTGCATTGGGGGGCCTGTCCTGCTCTGGGTAGCTGTGGAGCTGGCAGGGACGCTGCTACTGCTGCTGCTTGCTGCTGGTGTTTCACTATTATTACTCTGGGAGGTTGTGGAGGCGGCAGGGCGACTTGCCTCCGTCTCTAGAGGCTCCAACGCATCTGAGGATTCCATCATACTCCTCCAGTTAGTCTCTAGAAGAACAAGCAAAAACAGGATCTATTAGTTCAACATTTATAACTGAACAGGAGCGCTCTACTCTCATTAGAAATTGTTAACATGCTGACAAAATAATGTTTCTAAAAAAAGAAAAAGGTTTAAGATGCATTCTCCACTTGACATTTCAAGATGAAGGTATAGTTTTTAATTCATCTGTAATAAATGAATTAAAAGCTGCTTTAACATCTGATTAAAGTCTGTAATAATTGGTACACCAGGAGGTGGCGAAAAAGTTGACATAATGATTGCTGATAATATAAAATTCAGTAGATGATAGCGATAGTTGACAAGCAACAAAACTTCCAAAACTTTGCATAAAGTCTGCAATCTTCAGATTATGTATATATCTTACTGACCTTTAACAAATGAGTCTTAAAGCTGCAGTGTGTTATTTTCAGAGACATCTAATAGTCAGACTGCAGAGAATTGAACCTCTCCCCCACTGCTTCTCCACCTCCAACAATATGGAGGCCATGATGGTAGGAAATGGCTTCTGCAACATCTGCATCACCCGTCTTATCAAGTGTTGACGAGGTTTTTGTTTACATAGATAATTTTATAAATTGTTTTTATCAGTTTGTGTAGGTTATAGATTATATATTGCCCTAACTGTCACCGTCACATTAGAGGGTATCTGCAATCTCTACGGTCACTAGTTTGGCATCTCTTAGCTACCGTAGGGCACAGATATCTGCCTTCGCAAATGTGACAGCTGCTCTTAATAATTATAAATAGCAATTGTTAAGGCGACATAAACAAAGTTTGAGACTTTCAGTTCATAGGTGATAAAATTCATATGTACTATATAATATATTACATTTCTGTCAAAATCCCTTTAATTATTACACACTAGCATCGAATACAGATTGTTCATTATGCAAAGAGCAATTTGCATGTTTTTCTTCATAATGTGGGGGCCTCAGAGTGGCGGTGAGTCTGTTGCTGCATATTATATACAAAATCAGTGCAAGGCAGAAAAATGAAAAAAATAAAATAAATAAAAAATCAGTAGTTTTAGTATTACGTTTGCTTATAATTAAAATAAGTTTAAATTTGAGAAAGTTTTTTTTGTTTTATTTTTTTTTATTAAAAATGAGGCGCAAATAGAGCATCATCATCTTGGAAAGCATGTTTTTCCTCCCCTTACTGTTTTTTCAACATTCAATGCAAGAACAATTTTCTCAAGTTTTAGCGTGGCCCTCAATGTTTCTGTTAGAGAAATTTGAAGCTTCTTTTCTCTCTTGTGATCTGGTAAAGATTCAGATTTCCAGCAAAATTGAAAAAAAAAAAAAAAGAAGAACTAATTAAGAATCAATCTCTACATGAATGCAAGTCATCATCAATAAGTCGACAAAATATGGTTAAAGTTCAAAGAAAATAGCCAATATAAGCATTTTTTAAAGAAGTTTTCATCTTCAGGTTCTGTATAAAATTCAAAATGAGCTCACCATACTCCTTTTCATTAACCTCTGAGATGGGCTCAGAGAAAATGGAGCAGAATGAGATGGCTGAAGCAGCCGAGTGGTTGCGTGAGTGGCCCATGTGATGTGGGACCTTCTTGTCATTTTTCAGAGCCTCCTCTGCCTGCTCCTGCTCCAGAGCAGACACCATGTCCTTGTAGGCCTTCCTCGCCTCCTCTGTCAGGGACACTAATTGGTCAAAGAGACCCTAAGAAAAAAAGACAAGTAAATAATATAAAGAAAAGCTAATTAAAACACAGATAACTTTTAAGGGGTTTTAGAAGTTTTGAGGAGGATAGCAATGCCCTACCTCAGCACCAGAGTAGTTGAAAATCCCTACAACACTAACAGGCACCAGCTTGTTGACGCACCGTCCAAGAGCTTTTCTGCCCAAGGCAAACACAAACGGGATCTCCTGCTCTCTTGCCATGGCAATCACATTATACAAAGCTTCATCCAAACCACCTGCAACGCATAAAACAGTTGGAAAGTCAAGTCATCTCAACAACAGGTTGCAAAAACAAGGTAATTTGGCTTAGGAGCATTAAGTTCCCCCATTAAACCGCTGGGTTTGCACTGATTATTTACACAGCTGGTGTTAAAATCAACTCATGACTTTTGGAGTCACAATTTTTGCAAAGAGGGGATTTTATCTCATTAGCTTTGGCTTAGTTTAGTTGACATGCAGTCACATTTAAATGACACAAAAGCATACAGGGTAAAAACAAAACAAAAAAAATATCCGATACTCCACTGACAAGATAAAACCTGGAAATTATTATTATTCCGTCAAACACAGTTTAACCCTTTTGTCTATGTAGACACTCACCTTTGGCTTGGATCTTCTCACAGTTAGGAGAAATGATGACACACTTTATCTTCTGCAGCTTCATGTGCTTGGTCACCTCTCTGAGACCCATGACCAGCCGGCGTTTAGATTTGGCTTTGGTGGGATCCTTCTGGTAAACCCGCTCCTGGAAGCGAACCAGCTCCTGCAGCAGCAGAGTCACGCTCTCATCGATCTCCTTACTCAGGACCTGGTTACAGTACCTGCAGAGGAAGAAAAAAAAAAAGTTCTTGCCATGTTGATAGTAGGGAGAGGTGCTGCAATTAGTCATCTTTGTTCATGATGGTATCTATGATCTCTTCCATCTTTTTCTTTAGATTAAACCTTAACTTAAACCAAGAGTCTGATCTGCTCTACAAGAATACACATTTGTGGAAGCAGTCTATTCCACTTCTAACTGATTAAAGCTCACTTTGAAATGAGAAAATTTTACAAAAAAGCATCACAGTGGCAGAGTTTAGATTGATAAGGAAGAGCATTATACATGTTTTTATTAATAAGAGGTGGCATGAAACAAAAGTTACTATTTTCTCAGCACCTCTGCCAGCTAATCCGCAGACTATCCATTATATAACAGATCACTGTCATGAAGTTACTTGTAAAGAAAGTCCACATTCAACCCTCTAGATTAAATCCTACAACAGAGAACCAAAAAAATATTTCTGATCAGGCGTCAGGTCTGTTTTGATTCCTAACAGCTTTTTACTTAGTTAGCTCGTGTTTAAAAGGAGCTCAGATTGCCTTAAAGTGGTGCTCTGGGTCACATGACTCATTCAGTGACAGATCCGACCCTCACAAGTTACATAGGTGACTGTCACAAGAAGCGCAAGAAGCAAAAATAATTTAAGATACGATAAATTTAGCTGCTGCTTGGGTCAAAACTTATTGTCGCCTTAGCAACGCCCATCCAAATCCTGACTAATCACACAACTGTTCTTTGACATGCTGTAAGATAATACAAAAAAGAAAAAAAGATCCTGCCCATATGGCAGGAACCTCCAAGAGGGCTGCAAGAAAAAAATAAAATAAAAGATAATTGTTTTTGCAGCTTTGAGAGCGAGAAAAAAGCTGGACTATGTAACAAGCTTAACTCTGGATCTGTGTGTGATTATCTGTAGACTCTGTAGCCAGCAGTTATTTTATTTCTAAATTACACTGAAGTGTGAGGGAAATGTCAATATATATGTAAATATAATTTTGATAGGGTCAAAAAGTAAATAAAGTGTATAAATACAAATCCTTTTTTGGAAGTCACATGGAAATATCTCATGGCTGTAGTGGAGTTTATTTTCCTTTAGAGCTGCAGAAACGAGGCCTGCTTTTTAAATTTATATTCTGAACGCTTATGGGTTTTTTCAATTTTAAATTGCAGATCATCAGCTTTATTTTCATCATCATCATGAACTTTATTTGTAGAGAGCTTTAAAATAGCTGAAAACAAAGTGCCGAACATAGCAAAAAAATAATGCTGAAACACAATAGATTCAAAGCTAAAGATGGTGTGATGTGAGGAACCAGTGTCCTGGCAGCTAGATCTTAGAGGAGGAGCTTAAGCTACAGTGGCCTTTTGGAGATTTTTAAAGAGAAAAAAAACACAGAAAGGGGTGGGCTGGGACAATGGGCCTTTAACTGAAAGTATGGAGGGAACAAAGCTGTGTTTGAGACGGCAAGCATCCAGTTTGCCATACTCCATTCAATTCTTTATTGTACTGTTCCTCCATTAGAGTCACCCACTGCTTCCCACTGCCAAGGTGTTTGCAGAGTAGGACACTAATTTGCTAAACCAACAAAAAGATGTTGCTGCACAGTCATTATTTCCAGATATCCATATAAAAACCACATTTATGTCTACAGCTCTTTAAAAAAAAAAAAAAAACTTCACATGGTTGAGCAAAGCGCTGTGCAGGACTTACTCTCTGAAACGCCGGCTGTGGATCTTGGTGACGGCATTTGAAGCCATCGGACTGCCGATTCCAGAACTGGCAGGAGAACCCTGTGACACCGGGGTGATGCTGTATGGGGAGTTCTGGCTGGCCGGGGAGAGGGACGCATCGCTGGGCACGCTCAAGCCGTTTTCTGTATTGATGCGCATCAACAATATATTCATTCGCAATTCACAAACATAACATTTCTTGTGTCACTTAATTTAGTTCTTTCTAGGGCTGCAACTAACGATTATTTTAAAAATCGATGATTCGGGCGATTATTTTTTCGATTAATCGATGAATCGGACAAAAAAAATTTTTTATATTAACCTCTTTATTCCGAAATAAAAATTTAAGACAGAACAAACAAGCACACAAGTACAGGTTGCTCATTTACTTTACTGGTGCAATATGAAAAATAAATGTTTGTGTAAAAACTACGCAAACTTACATGAGAAATGTAGCTGTACATCCACAAAATATAGGCTACTTTGTTTCATAAAGCGCAAAAAGAGACAGGCATTTTTGTTTTTCAAAGCCCCTAAGGGGTTCAAACAATAGGTCCCCCCATTTCAACAAATGAGTTTTTTTTAGACTAGAAGAGTTCTGCCTTTTAAAGGGACACTATGCAACATTTTTCAGTTAATTAATGTGTTCCATAACGTTTTGGATGATTAAATGAGTCATTTCAGGTTGAACAAAGGTATTCTCGGCCGCCCTGGTGGTCTGTGGGGGAAATACTGCACTTGCAATTGCAGGAGCACCGACCCGCACCCACAGGCTCAGAAGTCTCGTGAGAGTCAGTCTTGCTTTACGGCCGAGAACTGCTAAACCCCCCAGTTAAAAGCATTCTCGTTGCTAGCACAGTGGCGATCCTTGTGCAGTTATGCTACGTTCACGCAGCAAAAGCAGCAAAATCGTGTCTGCTGCTTCATTTTTGCTGCTTGAACCAGTTAGTTCTGACGCTCTGGCTGTGCGGTGCAAAAGTGTGTCTGACGCGCGTTGGGCGGAGCTTCACTATCCTTTCTCTGCCTTGCAGCTATATTTGCTGTGATCATTTGGAATAAAGTAGTTTTAATATGTGTTTAAATGAGAAAATACACCTGAAAACGTAATCAGTGCAGTCAGTTCATTCAGATTATTATCCTGCCTTCAATATTTTTTCTGTCGGAGCCGCTCAGACCCCCACATACCAGCGGGGCGCCAACAGTATGGATCCCTTCATCAGCAGCGGTTCACCGCGGCAGCTGGTAGGTGTTTTTCATCTAAATAATCCAAACTGCATATTCTGCCGGCAGATTTCTGCATTTTAAGTTAATTTAGGCGTCAATAAACTGTTTAAGAGGAGAGATCATAGCCTCTGATCATCAGCGCTGTGTCTCTCTCCCTGCTTCAGCTGCTCAGACGCGCTGGGCCTGCTGCTCCTTGACGCGCGTCAACCATTGACTTTGCATGTAAACTCGCTGCTTCTGTCGCGCCAGCTGCGGTGTGAACGCAGCATTAGTCATTCGTTACTGGTACAAGCAGCAAAAATGAAGCAGCAGACGCGATTTTGCTGCTTTTGCTGCCCCCGGTGTGAACGCAGCATTAGCCTGTCTGCTAAGCTCAAAACAACCGCGCCTGGCTTGACGGAGAAACCAGGAGAACAGCTGTGCATATTTACGACAGTGCACTTTTACTTTCGCCCTCTGGGGGGAGTCTCGCTGGAAAATCAACACCGGTTGCATAGTGTACCTTTAAGACAGGAAAGTATAGCAGTTAAAGTTGCTGCTTGAGAAAATACTGAACCATAGAGATAAAAATAGCCCTGTGATTCAAATTATAAATTGTATTTGGAATAAAAATGAGAGAACTAGGGGTGCTAAAAAACACATCCTCCAAAGACAGATATTTACATGGAAATGTGGCAGATAATTAATTGACATATTACTGATCTTGCTGGATTTTGTTCTGCTTTACTTAACCATAAATTGCAGGATCTTCTTTTCTTTATCTTTGCCAGAAGATTTAAACTTTAAAAGCCTTGCCCTCATAATTTGCAAGTTAATTTATTTATAAAGAAAATATAAACGCTGCTTAAACAAATTTAAATGAAATTAAAAGTAAAATAAGTAGCCAACCTTATCACTGTCTGTAACCTACTAACAAGGTAAGGAAAGCATCAGATGAGCTACCTGAGAAACTAACTTACGTTTCCCCACTTTAAAATGAAACAAACATGGTTACTCATCCTGCTGATCAGCTCTCTTCACTGCCATAGAAGGCTCCAACGTGTTTTCTTTTCAGGTGCTGCGTCATAACAGTGGTGCTTCCGCGCCATGTTCATTTGTTTTTACAAAAGTTGCATGTTACGACTTTTTTCACTTTACAAAGCGCAGGCTATTTTAATTATTGTGATCAATTTGCGCCGTCAATCCCGGCGCATGCGCGCTTCATTTGCAGTCTGGGCGCTGAGGGTAAACTCCTCACTAAAATCCTGCGGCTCTGACTGCCGTGCTGAGAGGGATTCCTGTGGGAGAGGGAGAAAGGCGTTGGGATGGGGGAGGCGCCCCACGGCAGGCAAAAGCCGCCAGTGACACCGCAAAAAGTCGCCAGATTTGTCGCTAGTCGCTTTTTTGAAAAATAGTCGCTGGAGGGGTCTGAAAAGTCGCTGAGTTGACAACACTGCAACTGCGGCGCTGACTCGCTCCGCCATATTTTTTTTTCTTCCCCCGGATGACGGCGGCGGCGGATGACGCATTAATCGCGCGCACAACTAATCGATGATTAAATTCGTTGCCAACGCTTTTAAAAGTCGATTTTTATCGATTCGTTGTTGCAGCCCTAGTTCTTTCCAATTGATGCATTAATGTTTCTAGTGTTGAGGGGAAGGACGAGCTCCCCTGGAAGGAACTGGGCTCACCTTCCTGGGAGGCAGGTTCACGCGAAAGATCATTTGTAAACTGGAGACACTCATCTCCATGCTCGTCATGGCCTGCAGACTCTTGTTCCATGCAAGACTTCCCTTTCTTCCCCTCACGTTCCTTTAGGATAATCTAGAAATACCAAAACAATGTTTTAGATACGTCCAAAAAGGAAAGTGCTGTCAAACCAACTATTAAGTTATTTAGTTTAATTTTCAAAACCTTCTTAAGGGCTGTAGGGCGTTTGACTTTGGGAATCTCTCTCTCCTTCCCCCTTTTCACTCGTGGTGCAGTGGAATCCAGAGCGTTGTGTGGGGCTGAGAGGGCTTGTTGATGACCCCTCAGCATGGATGGCACATTGGTGGAGCTTGAGCTTTGGAAAGGGCTGGTCGTTCCAACTGAGAGAGGAAAGAATAAAAAAAGACTCCAAATGTTAAACTACTATGAGGAAATTAGCTGAACGATTCCAAGATTAAAATGCAGACTTTCCATTGTTTGTTTGATTTATATCATTTAAGTATTTCAAACCTATAAATGAATGAATGAATACCTGTAAATGATAGTGGTTTAGTATTTGTGAGCTGCCTGGCCTTCATAGCCTGCTGCTGCTTTTCTAAAGCAGCCAGCATATCTCCCAAGTCGAGCTCGACTGGCGTTTTACTCTTCTTCCCTGCTGCTTTGGTGAACGCTTCCTAGAAGAGAGCATGCGAAACCAATTAGAGGCCACAGAGGAACAAAAATATCAGAGCACATGCAGGGACTAAAATCAGATGGTTATGTGCGTACCTGTAATTTCTTCTGCTCCATGCTGATTTCTGAATACTCCTGCGCCGTGGCCAGGGCAGCTGCCAGAGCCTTCTTCCTTTGGCTCTTAGCCCTCTTGGGAACGGAGGTAGTAATGGGAATGGGTGTCTGCACAATGTTGATTGGAGAGTTTTCTGGTAGGCCATCCAGCTGCAGCACAGAATCATACAGACTTTTGTTATTGAGCAGAATATTATGTTATTGAGCAGAGATGCTAGACACACCAAGTCCGGCGGAGTGATGTAATGATCTTTCAAAGATACTTGCCAGAGGTGTACCTTTTCCTACCAAATTAAGACTGATTAAAACATCCTACAGGAAATGAAGAATGGATTTTCATGGCATACAATTTAGAGCAATGTGACTTAAACCAAATTTATGCATAAGTTAATTTGAATAAATAAATCTATAAATCAAATCCAACTCTTTTCTGACTTACAATTAATTTGTTCTGTTTTCATTTGGGTCGTGCATCACTGTAAACTCAGAGTTTTAAGTTTGAAAACAATTTAAAAGCAAGATCTTATCTCCTCCAGTGCTTGTCCAACATGATAAAAAGATGCTTGAACGCTTAGGTGTACCCAACACACAGCTGGAAACCTAGAGGATTTTCGCAAGATCTTTCCCTCACCAGATTTTTAGGCAGTTTAGGTTGAGTGTGTGTCTGAGCAGGTGCAGGTTCATGTTTGTTGTTGCGTAGGACAGACCCTCCAGCTGCAAGATCTGGAAACTCGTCCTCATCCTGCAAAATACATAGAAATCGTTTTAGTGCTGCATACCGTTCTTTCGGAAATAAGTGTAACTCGACAGAAACAGTAAATGGCTTCTCTAACCTCAAAGTAAAGTGGCTCTGGAGTAAGATCTGCACCAGTGACCACTACCGGCTGAACTCTTTGTTCGGACTGGTTTGACTTCATGCGTCCTGAGTAGCCATTGTGGAAGTCCTGGAAGAAGAGCACAAATTCAAGGAAACAAAAAGTTTAGCCATCTCTATCTGTGTACCTACTCAGGCTCGGAGATGATAAGATGAAAAGCGATTAAGAAACTATTTAAAAATCTGTTTACTTCTTTTTTCCTTTGTTTATATGCCCTCTAGAACTTTTACCTGCAACAAATTTCTTTGTTCACTAATCTTCCTCTGATCGGCTCGGTGGTACTGGCCATTTCTCTCCCTCCAGTGCTTTGGAGTAGCCTGTGATGCTACATTTACCCAGGCACCTGCTGGCAAGAAAATGAAATATAAAAATTAAAGAAAAGCCTCTATTTATAACTACAGCTCTTATTAAAAATAGCAGGTATTAAAATTACCCTTTATGACACCTGTGTCAACTCCCTATAAAAACAGAAAACATTACAATGTTAACCCAAAGTATTAGAATCAAGGTTAACAAAAATTATGAAACAAAAATTATGAAATTATTAAAGATTAGGTGAAAAAATGTGACATCAGTTTTGTAATAAATTCTCATTTCTTTTACAGCTCGATTTAATGTCTTAAACATTAATAATAATCAAATCTACCATCGGTGCAACTGCATTCTCTGGAGTTCGCTGTGTCCCTCCGGTCGCCTGATTGTGTTTGGGACTGCAGTAGCCACTGTCGCTGTCTATATCAGCCTCACTGGCACCCTGCTCGTTGTAGCCTTCTGCTGGGTGGGAAGGTCGTCTTCTCTTCGTGCGGTTGTTCCACATTTGTGGGCTAATGCGCTCAGCAGCACAACGCCCCGACACCTCACCTGGGAAATCTGAAGAAAAGGTCATGGGAATAAAAAAAAAAAATAATAATAATATTCACACATACATCACAGAGAACCTTTAAATAAAATGAGACTATTTTTCATCGAAGCACAGCTATGAAGATTTGATCCATCTCTACTGACTAATAATGACACATGATTAGAAAACCCCAAATAAGTTGCTGAACTTTTTGCATCCTCTTGAGTGGCACACAGGTTCAGTTCTCAGACTGGAATGTCAGCAATCCAGTTTTTCTAAAGCTTAAGCAGAGGCATTGTCAACATCATCGATACCAGTAAGAGCAGCGTCAGACACCATTTTACTGGCATGGAAGACTCCATGCAGCTATCTTTATCTTTAAATAACTCTGGAATCTTGTCACCTCATGCTCTGATCAGCAAAGGGACTAACAAAGAGATTCTCACATCATGATAAACTCCAGTAAAAATACAACCAATTTCAAAGTAGAAATTTTTAATTTCAAAACAGAACATGTATGCAAACGATTCAATTGATTAAAAATTCAGAAATGCAAGCATATTTCCAACTGAAGCCACTTATTTGATTGAATTTAACCACTTTGCCATTCTGCTTGTGTCTGAGTTACATAAGCCTTTGAAACCTGCGTTATTACCTCCAACAAGGAGGTTGTGTTTTAAGGACAGTTTTTGTTTGTTTGTCTGTCTGTGTACAGGATAACTTAAAAGTTATGAATGGATTTTAATGAAATGCTTAACGAAAGTAAAAAATCCATGACATTCTGGCAATGATCCACATCATAATCTGGATAGAGGGATGTTTTAAAAGTTTCTCTAATATTGTGAAATAGGGAGATTTGGCTTAACAAGCAGCTTCTCCCTAAACCAAAGGGAGGCAGCAGTGAATAATGACAGCTTCAGCAACGGACTGGTACTGTTACTGAAGACAAAAACAAAAGAAAAAGGGACGCTGTTCCAGGATCAATTGCATTTTTTTTTATATTTTTTTTACAAGAGGTGCACCTCCTGTTAAGTACAAATTCATTAAAATGTTGTAATGATCCAGATCATATGCATGTTTTAGCTATAGGTCTAAGTCACACTTTGCTGCTTGGTGAACGTCGGCGCTCTCCGAGTGCTTTTATAGGTATTTGGGTCGTCAGCCTACAGTCTTACCAGTCTGTTGTGCTGCATCCACCAACATAACGGTCTTGGTCCGACCATCAGGCGTTAATGTGCACACCTCTTTTTGCACAGCTATGTTTCTAGCAGGAAGCCGGCGACCTCTTGAAGGCTGGCAGATACCTAAATGTGGCTGCTAGAAAAAGTAAAAAATAGAGACAGTTTCCTTAGCAGAGCTAAAAGAACCTCTGTGCTGTAACCAGAGACAGAAAAACAATTGAACTCGTCTACCTTGGTAAGAACATTAGATCGAGGCATGCCTCTTCCTCTCTGGCTGGCCATACCATAGGTAGGCCCCAGTGGCAGAGGCCTTTCCCCGACATCCGCGGACACGGGGCTGACCACTCCAGCTTGAACTGGACTTGGATATGTCCCAGGGAAGGGCTGGTAAAAACCCATCACAGGAGGACATGGAGCAGGCATGATCTGGTAGTAAGCGTAGTCATTAGAGACAGGTGGCTGTGGGGAAGACAAGATGGGGTAGGCCAGGTATGGACCTCCGGGGCTGGGGTTGGGCTGCGGCCAGCGCAGCTCCCCTCCGTTGTACAAAGGATGCTGCCTGTAGAGAGGAAAACATTTATTCTGTTTGGTTGTTTCTAGTATATTAAAAATTACAACATGTATTTATTAAAGGTTGATTGCACAAGCGTAAAAGAAATATTTCTAATACCCCAAGCATGTCTTTATAATTTCCTGACACTATAACATTTTCCTTTCTCTATTCAACACAGTTGATTCTTAAGGCTCTGTTTGTCAGCTCATGAGAGTGACGCTTGTAAAGATGGACCACAAAAAAAATCAAGTACACTTTAAATTCATCACAGACTCCACACAAAAGAAAAAAAAAACAAAAAAATGTTGGTCATTGTGATAAAAATGGCAAAACTGGAGTCTGCTGGTGAAGGAAGATTAAATAATGGAAAAGCTTTCAACAAGGAGGGAGCTCAGATGTGCTCCATTCAAAACAATGTTTATATTTATAAGCAGAGGGGGGCAAACTTTTGCAAAAACTCTGAAACTTGTGCTATGCACTTTTAAGGATATAGATGGAATAAAAATGTATTTTGTATAAAATAAAACAAACAAAAAACTATATACCCAGTTACCAGACAAGCCCCCCCCCCCCCCCCCCCCCCCCCCCCCCTAATTTAGACATTTAATATACCACAGGGTAGAGATGCTTTTCCTAGACGGCTGTTCCTGGTAGTCTTTAAGTTGTTAAATTCCCCATTCGGGTTACAACACACAGAGTCCTTCACTCAGATACATTTCAGTCCAACGGGAAGTCCCTTTAGGGATCAAAGCATATAGCCCTCACCTTTATTTTAAATTCAACTCAGAAAGTGAATCAAAATACAGACTGTTGGTTGGCTGATGGATCAACAGGGTGAAACTATTTAGGAGTGTTTAGTTTTTTATGGTTTTCATGGATGGGGGAAAACAGACAAGTATTCAGTATTTGGCTACTGATTAAGAAACAAATGTTGAAATTATAGCCATTTCTCTAAAGACATGGAACTTTCGGAATCAACACAAGTCCAGGATAAGCAAGGCTCAGATTCCTTTGACTGCAGTGGTCAACATCCATACAGTTCCTCTGCTTGGTTTGTTACAGCTGAGTACATAGTACATGCAAATGCTGATAAGAATCCACATGACATTTCCACAGTCAAAGACTACTATAGTGGGCATTTCCTTGAATTCAAATAGTGGGGAAGGAAACAAAGAAACGGATGTGTGCAGGATCTAGACCATCACTGGGGACAAAGAAAGAGCTGCTGGAAACATTACAGTTTATTTTGGTTCAAAATAAACAAAACTAGTGAGGTTTCCAGTTTTAATTACAGCTATCTTGGAGAACGGAGGAATTCAAAGTTTTTGACTTCATTTAATGTTTGAACAATCTAATCAAAATCTTATTCTGAAAAGACCACCAGGACACAATGTTGTTTTAATAGCAGCAAAACAAGTCTGTGAGAACATTTTCGAAGCATCGTTAATAAAGAGCTCTAAGGTCAGCCCTTTCAGGACTTAGAGAGTTGAAACTATATATAACCCTGAATGAAAATGCTCTGGTGCTTTCAGCACATGTTTGACTCTGTGTAGAGGTTTCATTCAATGTCCTGTCCCCCACAGTGACAGCTGAACAGTACCTGTTGGGTTGGTTTTCCTGGACGAAAGGGTAGCAGGTGATGAGGTAGCTGGGTATGGGTGCGGTTTCCACCCCTCCGCTGCCGCCTCCTATACCGACACCCCCTCCTCCTCCTCCCGCTTCGCCGGAGAGACTCATGCTGACCAGTGATCCTTCAAAACCTTTCTTCTGTGGGATAAACGGTTCCACTTCAGGTGAAAGCTTCACATCCTGCACAGACACAAATATGCAGCTGTTGCTGTTAAATCATCACAGTCACGCATTTATCATATGAGAAAGAAATAAGGCTTTTTTTTTTTGTTTGAAATGAGCAGAGCTTGGTTTGTCAATTTGCTGACAGATTACTACATTGCCAGCCTGCTTATAGTACAGTGCCTTTTTTAAGCGTCACCAAACAGTTGATGGGCAAATATGACAAAATAACAAAACATGAATATCATATCTGCTGCACCGACCAAAAGTCTTCAGCTATTCTTCAATTCAAAATATTTTGCACCTAAGGAAACTGATTAAAATATAATCCTTTAAACGTTTGAAACCCAGACTTTCTGCTGAACTTTCAACGTTGCTTAGTGTAGTCTTTTTTTTTTGCATTTAAATGCTTCAAGGACTGCTCTCTGTATAAAAGTCTGTGTAAAAATATATACTGCAAAGCAATACCTAAAGGAACGATCTAAAAGCATTTTAGAATGCTGAAAAAACATCACTGGAGATAGACAACCTAAAATATCAAAATAAAATATTCTAAAATAATCTATACTCTATCTGCATTTAAGTTTTCAATTTCACAGTTATAAAAAAAAGGTAGGAAAACATTTGTTACAGTATCACGTAGCATAAGAGAAGAGGTGTTTAAGACATTCTGTGCCAAGACCTTTCAGTTTATAACTTTAGTGTCAGCTAGAACCACTTACGCTATAATCATAAAAACTTACGTAACAGGACAATAAAAAAAACATTGTTTTACGTTTCTTCTACTAGGACTGAACATCTGTTTTTTTTTCCCATGACGCATAGCTGCCAAAATTTAGTACAATAAATAACAAAATAAAAAAACTTTGACACGAGGAAAACTAAATACCTAAGCAGAGTTGAAAATTTGAAGAAAAATTGTAGCCCGTCTGCAATCAATAAAAAGATGTGCAGAAAATAAATAAAATAAAAACATAACCGATGACTGTGGCTTTCCCCAGATAACAGGAGAAATGTTTGAGCTTTTAATAGATATCGTAGTCAGGTAAGGATCTACATGTCAATAAACACAGGTGGACTGCTGCTTAATAATGCTAGCTGTTTTATCTGCTAAAAAAATGTCAAGACCCCTGCAAATGTCAACTCTGCGAATGTAAAACAGAAAAACCCTGTTTTAGCCTGATGGCCAACTAACAAACCACATGACATTATCTCTGCAGTAAATAATGATGGCCCACAGGAAAAGGCAAGAAATAACTCTTCGACTATAGTTCTTCATTTATGAAACAATAGAATCAGTTACAGGCAAAACTGTTGCATTGACAGCTAAAATAAAACTTGTCTTAAAAGTAAGTAAACTCCTAAAATGTTTAAATATATTTCATTATACATTTTTAATGGGACAAAACTGAAGATGATATTTTTATACCAAGTAAAGTCTGTGTACAAAGAGTTGCAAATTAGATGTCTGTTCAAAATAAGGCCCGCATAATGCATCAAATTGGTGTGGATGGCCTTTGTTCAAGAATGAAACCTCTTCTAAAGACAGGTCACTAGAAAACCCGCAAACGGTTTCCTGAAGACCAGCAATTACTGGAACCAACTCCTGTGGTTTGATGAGACAAGATTAACTTATCTGGTTCTGATGGCGTCAAGCTTGTATTGCTAAGAACGGTTTGTCTAGTCTACAGTCCTTCATGGCGGTGGTGATGTCATGAGCTAAATTGTTTGAGGAAATCATGAATGTCAATTTGCACTGAATAAGAGCATTACCGCCTTCCTCAGAAAACACCTCCAAGATGATCACTGACTTGCTAAAGAAACTGAGAGAAAGGGTGCAGAACTGGCAAACTTGTAAAACCTCCCCAGACAGAAGGTTTGGGAGCACAACGATTCCAAGGGGAAACTGTGATGCTCTACAGAACTCCATACTGAGAAAAGTTAAGCCAGTCCAGGAAAATAATGGGAGCTTTGGGAAATACTGACACTTAGGGCCCAATTTGAAAATTAATGGTTGTATGTCAGGTTATTTAAAGAGGACGGTAAATTTGAACAGTTTCATAAGCTATGCAAAAACTATTTTATGTTGTATTAAAGTTTCCTATGTTTAGTTTTATCCCGAAAACATGAGGGCTGTACTCACTTTAGTTAGATACTCTACTCATACTAATCATGAACGTCACCAGAGATGTTAAAAGAAAAAGCAGATCAAACCAGATTTTATTGAAATTGATGGGCAGGATTTATTCTTTTTACTTATTGTGAACAACTGTTTTTATCTTTAGGATGTTTTATTTCAGAGCAATGTAATTAAAGAAAAGACTGTAATTAACATACATTACAAATTATTTACCAAATTTGAGAAATGACCAAAACTCTAAGAGCATAACATTTCCTAAAGCTTTTCTCTCTAGATGATGCTACCACTGAAATTTTTCATTTTACAGAGATAGAGGAGGTGAAAGGGTTCAGTGTACAAAGATGTCCCCTCTCTCTGAAACCGTGGTTGGCTTGGATGAATAGAGTATCAGTGCAGCCACTGGATGTTGCACAGACAGCTATTGTCTCCCACTGTTACTGGGTGGTTTTTTCACTTTCCCTTAGGTGACTCTCTTACATTGCAGTGAAGATAAAAATGGAACCTGTTCTGCCAGATCCATCAAGACGCCAAAACTAGATTTAAGAACTGAGATTTCTTCAAACCTCCCAAACCCAACATACAGATGGTAGTCTTCAAATCCAAAGCGATACGGCAATAGGGCTCACCAGTACTAAAGCTCTAGACTTTTACACTCTTACACTGTTCTTGATAGTTTGCTGTTATAGGATTAGGTTTGAGAGGATAAGGATGGCACAGCACCACAAGATAAGCTAATTATCCAATAGGCCGTCACAGACTCCTTATGTTAATTCTGAAAAGCGCGCAGGGGTGGAAAAATCTGACCATTGACAGATGTGGAGAAAAGGCAGAGGCGGTCCAAGGATTCATCTTTCCATTAAACCATGAGTGCATTTGTGTTAGTGAGAGGGTCACTGAGAAAAGCTGTGATTGTTAAAAGGACAATGAGATCACAGCCAGATGTTCATCCGACGGGGCTGGCAGAACCAAGCTAAAATAGCTGGGTTTCTGTGCCTATTTATCCAAGCATTTGTTTACAAACCAGGGCTTAAAAAGCAAAAAAAAAAAAAAAAAGACATTTGATTCTGCACTGAGAGCAGGGTGGCCTTTATAGAGGAAAGAACAGCTAATGCTCTGCAGCTCAGCACATTTCTAGAGTAGCTGGGCTTGGTGTTTATTATTATTACAGGGAATCTTGAATACAAAAATAAAGTAGATTACTTAAGTGTTTTATTAACTACTGCCACATTATCTAGGACCTGTTGCCTTCTGGAAATCCAGGTTGCTTCCTTAGACCATTTTGCACGCATTCAGACTCTTTGTTATTCCAGTAAATCTAAGCTTTTCAATTTTCAATGTAGAAGTTATGTTAATCAATTAACTTTTATTCCAACCAAGTTAACATCCAACATACAATGTGAAATATTTGAAGTAAATATGAACCGACTTCCTTTCTTCTGTGTCTATTGTGAAGTCACGTAACACTGCTATGGAAGATTTAAGCTCTACTGGTTAGTTTAAAACGGAAGGAAAAATCCAATCGCAACCAAAGTGGACTCTCTGCATAGCTGAGATCTGTAAAGGAATGACAGACACGCAGAAGAACCAGACATTCCTCTTCTTGATGCTCCACGCATGAAACGTCTCCGCCTCTCATGACAAAAACACTCATGCATACATTCCTGTCCGACTGAAACCCATCAATTCTGTTCCCTCTTTAGCCAATTATTGCCACAAAAGTTCAATAAAATAGGACGAAACACTTATTTTTTGTTACTAATTGAACACAGAAGCACTCGCGTCCTATGACAGCTGATTGAGTTAGCTTCTGCTAGCCAACGATGCTAACAAGCAATCGAGAATGAACGAAAGGCGAAGGAATGCGGTCACAACAATCGCTGATTATTACGTAAAATAACTTAAAAACAATTTCGCTCAAAAAGAAAAAAATAATAATGGCGTTATGAAGTATTTAGTTTTGGCTCTTTGTATGTTAGCTTGTTTAGCTGTCGCCTATGTCAGAAAACAACATAACCATTAGCTTGGTTAGTAGATTAAAGTGAGCCTTTGGACGCTACAAAAAGTCAAGACGCCATTTGTATTAAGAATAATAGAGTGGTTACCTCAGGGAAGCTGAAAATGTCAACGTTTAGGAGTCAGTTACCCCAGGCTGACGCTATCCCGTTTCTTTCCACGGGCTAAAGCGTTAGCTGAACCAAGGGAAAACAGAGCAAATTAAACCCTACCTTAATGTCACCAGCGTCCATGTCAGTCACCGACTCCACCGCAGACCGTCATTGATCACAACCCAGAAACTGTCAGGACGGAGCCCATTTTACTTTCTTCATTATGAATAATATCAACCGATAGAACCGAACGCGACTCGCTTTTCACGGGAGCTCCACCGTTAACTGTTGCTGCTGCGTCAGCTGCGAGCATGTAGCGCTGGCTGGCTACAAAGGGAAAACTGCTGTCGGTGAGGAAATGGGAGGGGATCGGCCTCATTTCCCAGCCGGCGGGTCAGCCGGGATAGGAGGTGTTAGCGTCTTATTTTAAATTGCGCATGAACCTGCCTATTGCTGACATTCAGCAGGATTTTCCGCACCTCTGACGCATAAATATAACACTGTTGGGTAACGATTTATAGCAAACATTTCCCGAATTCAAAAATTTGATAAACTGGATTACCGAAATCCTATTTTTGCAAAAACCACTTAAGTCTCTCACGTGAAGAGCTAAAATCTCACTGTCTGATCGGGTATGATTTGACGTAATTTACAGAAGAGGATTAGGGCAATTGAAAAAACAAAAAAGTTAACTTTTACATTTTATTTCAGAATATTATGAGAACAAAGTGAGATTAAAGTCAGCATTCTGACATTTTTCCCATATTAAACTGAAATATTTAAAAATAAGTCAACTTTTTATTTTTTCAGTGGCCCTAATCCTCTTACGTAGTAACTCTTTGTGGGACACAGTAGATTGTTTTCTCTTTTCAAAACTAAACCCCCTCGCACGTCACCCATACATCGTCGCTGCTTCTACCTGGATTACTCACCGTCTGACTTCAAAGGAGCAGACCCAGTCAGCTGCAACGGAAGCTGTCAAACATGACTGTAAAAATGTACAACATAACAGAACAACAAAAATGTTATATATATATATAGATATTTTATATGCTGTAAACATACTTTATGAATTAACCTAAATTTTGATGTGTATAGGACAAATCTTACATTTATAAAACTTGATATACACACAAATATGTGTAAAAGAAAAAAAAAAAAAATCAAGTTTGACTAATGCACTGCACATATGCATGCTACCAAAGTTTTTCTAATCTAACAGTATGTAAAGACAGGCATTAGTTAGCAATGGCATTTGATAGCGAGAAATGCTGACCAATATTTATGATTTTTCTATTATTAATCTATTCAATCTAAAATTTGTGTAGCTGCGAAGTTAACAGCCAACATTAACTCCAGGATTGTCTTCTGTAATTTAAGATAGAACTAGATATCTAAAATCAAAACTCTAAAGTTTTATAAAGATAAAAAAAAAAAAAAAAAACTCATCAATAGCATATATTCATCCAAGGACATATTTAAAACCCGATAGTTATTTGAAAGCAGCTCAGACCTGGTATGGTGGTAAGGGAAATCAGTTTATTCACAGGCAACAGTATACATTAAAATGTATACAGACTTTAATACGGGTTCAAACATTTTTATACAACCAAGATATTTGTCTTGTGCACATGAAAGACACTGCCAATCAACATAAAAAGACAAAAAAAAAATAAAAAATCAGGAGTCCTCCCATCAGAACAAAGAAAAACGTTCCTGGGATTCATGGAGTCTGTGAAACGGATGCATTCTCAAAAACCCGAGCCGTGTTTCTTGTCTGAGCAGGAGAATACTGGCAGAAGCAAAGAAGCATACTTTATGGATGTATTTAAACATGCCAATTCCTTTGTCTTCTCATTGGATATGTCATCATGTGAGCTTGCTAACAATGGCTTGGTTCAAGGAGTTAAGCTGATTTGTCCATTTGTCTAATGCTGTGTAGCGAGCGCCTCCTCTTTTCTGGTAGTCCAATTCTAGAAGCTGGTTGACTTGGTCAATTCGTCCGTGGATTGTGCTGTAACAAATGAAAAAATGTTTTGAAAATTAAATTTTAATAAGGGACATAAATTTTACTAGATCACAACAAATTACAAATTAAAAGCAGGCTTAATTAGAAACCTTTTATTATTAAATTATTCACTTGTACTGGTGAAACAATTCAGCTGGGATCTGATGCTTTGTGCAGCAGATCACTGTTGCAGTTGAACGTTTTTTTATGGATGTCTAAGGAGGACATTCACCAACCAAGCGAAATATTTTACTCCTGTTTGGGTTGCACATTTGATGCCAGAGGTGCCATGACCCATTGAAAATGAACTTCATTCAACTGCTTAAATTTTGTGTTTTTTTTATCTAGCAAAACAAATCTAAAGTCATAAAACAAATCTTAAGTCATAGAAGCCGTCAAGGTGGGGCGTGCATAAATCAGGCTAGTTATGCCCATCTCACCTGCAATTGTTTAAGCTGCTATACAACTCATACTTGATGTTATGTACCTTAACAAACCCTGAATCATTCTGTTGAGATTGAAAAAGGTAAATTTTTCATGTGTATAATCCTCCAACAAATATAAACCTGGGTATCGGTATCGAGTTTGAAATTTTAACATCGTTACAATCCTATCTGTAGGACAACCCTAATTAGCCATGTTTCCATCCAACTGAAATGCAAATTTTAAGATAACTTTTACATTTTCTAAACAAAAAAGGAAATGTGAATTTGCACTTATTCCATTTGGTTTGAAGCAAATTAACCAAGCGACGCAAAGTGTGGTGTTGTCACAGTCGCGCACATTATGTCGTCGTGCATGGCTGTAGTGGACAGGAAGTAGAGGCTGCAATCTAGCACTCACCATAGATCAGTAATGGAGGACAGTTTTAATGAATGTGTTGCTATTAGGGCAAGTTGTTCTAGCGTTAACATGTCAGCCAGCAATAGCGATGTTGCTTCCAGCAATGTACTTTTTTTGAGGGAGTTTTTTCAAATTTTGTCATTTCCATCAGCTTTTCTAATACTGCACATCAAGAAAAGCTGATGGAAACACACCTACCTCTTTCCTCCCACGGTGCATCCTTTTGCTGTGTGTCATCCAACTAAGTGACAAACACTTACACTGACACACACTAAAAACCTGATGTATCAGAGCAGACCACTGTCTGCCATTGCTCTCTGTGCCTGTTCTGAAGCTCACAAGTTTACTTTTAGCACTTTCTACACTAATTATGGGCGTTCAAGTGAGAAAAAAAAAAAAAAAGTGAAACATTTCAATCAGATAAAGTATTGATTTTGTTCAGCTATTTAAGCAACAATAACTCCTTTGTTAAACATGAACCTTAAGCCAAGCTTTTGCTTTCCCCATGTCTAAATGAAACGTGTTGGTGAACCACTGGTCCTTCTTTGGCCCGGTTTTGATAGATACTAAAACTAAACTTAGAACATCTGGGAAAGCTCTTACCCACATATCTAATCAAACTCAATCAAGATTCTTACCCGGGTTTAGTTTTTGTACCTCTAAAACATTTGTCACAAAGCTACAAATAAAACATAACTTAGACTTCTTGTCCCTTACCAATGTAATATATTCTTTGGGTTGTCTAAGGTTTACAAGTCCAACCAACAAATAGACCTTAATGACAGCTGAAGCTTCGACACACTGACTTTATACATGTCAAGGCATCCAAACTATGAGGAAATGCTATTAATAAGAACTCAGGTGTTTTTTTTTCTTTTTCTGTGCACACAAAACAAAGAAGGACAAGCTTACTTATCCAGTATGCACTGCACCAGCAAACTCTCCACGTCACACACGTCAATGTTTAACTCCTGAAACACAGACAGGAAAAAAAAAACAAACAAAAAAAACACAGGAATGTTATTACATCTAAAAGAGAAAAAAAACAAGAGGCACATAATGCAATGCATTAGTGGGACATTATTCTAAGTACTTTAAAATGACAAAGATGGGGGGGGGTAAACAAATCATGAATATATTAACATATGGGTACCTAGTATCTGCATCCTTCTATTAGTAACAATATACAATATTTATTATAGGCAGATAGATTAGAATTGATAAGCATAAAAACAGGCATATACAGGAAAGGATTTGGTAAGATGTCCTGCTAAAAACAATAATGGCTTACACTTACAGATAGTGACAGGGCCATCAGTGTTTATCTGATCATCTATCAACATCTAAAAGCAATGGTGCAATGAAAAGGTCTAATATTGTTCCGACTCACCTTAGAAATGAAAGGGATGTGTATTCTTGTGTATGGTTTGATGAGTTTAATAAGGACTTGAGTTCTAATGTTACGCAGGAGCTCTGAAACGTCACATCATAAAATCAGTCAATTTTTCCAAACCACTGCTCAGGCACGTCGACTCGAGTCACAGACTCCACTCACCCTCTATGTGCTCTCTAATGAAGGGGTCGTCCATTATGTTACTGTGGTTTGCTTTCAAGATTTTCTCAAACTCGGTGATGTCATTGTTCTGGTAGGCGCTGAAAAAGGAAAACATTTTCACTTCTTTTAATAATTTCAATGTCTTTTGAAACTGCATGACAAAATCCGCCCTGAGGGGTCATCGAACATATTGCAAAACATCCAACTTTCTTCTAAACCCTATTCTTATATTAGCTTTAGGTGTCCACTCTTGGCTTCTTGTTTATTTAATCAAATCTTAAATATGAGCCTGAGAAACGTGGCTTAACAGTCAGTATCTTATTCAGTGTAAACACCGGAACAAAAGCTAGCAAACAAGGAAACGCCTGTAAAAGCCTAACTGTGATTTATACAACTACCATGAAAAGACCTAGCTTTTCCTATTTCAATGATGATTATCACAAACAGAAGTGAAGTTCTGACATTTGTTGTATTGTAGCTTGTAGGAATATAGACATGCCTTAAAGGTCTTCACATTTTCTTATTATTGCTTCAAACCTGAACAACTGAACATCTGTTCTGATATACCAATGTAGAGAAGCCAATAATGAGATTAGAGGGGAAAATATGTATATTTTTCATTATGATATTAATAAGGGAGGTGTGTATGTGTGTTTACTTCAACCCTCCTTTATTACATGTCTACAGTTAACAGTTACATTCTATAAAGAGCATCTGTGATCAGCAAATTTGACTTTAACAGCAGTTTAACAGCAGTTAAAGCAATTCACTCAGAAGGATTTAGGCCTGGACTTTAACCGAGCTATTCTAACATATAAAAATATTTTGAGCACAGCTTGAATGTTTAGGGTCATTGTCCTGTGACAAAATTGAGCCACTCCTCCCACAATATAGTCTCTTATCAATTCAAACAGGATCACAGATAAAAACGGTTGTGAAA